ATTATTATTATTATTATAAATATTATTATAATTATTATCATCATCATCATCATCAAACATGTACAAAATTACCAGAGCGTTTTGGCTACTTTAGTTATTTGAAATGAGAAAAATCTTAATAAAGGAATACAAACTGTCTCTTTAAAATATTACCTTGTTATTTTCAGGGTTTGTCTTGAATCATATTGTAAAAAAAAATATTTTTCAATATGTGTTGTCAATATTGAATATAATAAATATTGAAATTGTTTTTGCTTATTTCATTGGCAAAAAAATAAATTATATTATACGCGCACGTGCGCACGCACGCACGCACGCACACACGCACACACACACACACACACACACAACCACACCACACCACACCACACCACACCACACCACACCACACCACACCACACCACACCACACCACACCACATCACATCACATCACATCACTTCACACCACCCCACACCACACCACACCACACCACAGCACAGCACATCACATCACATCACATCACATCACACCACATCACATCACAGCACACAGCACAGCACAGCACAGCACAGCACAGCACAACACACACCACACCATAGCACACATCACACCACACCATAGCACACATCACACCACAGCACACACCACACCATAGCACACATCACACCACAGCACACACCACACCACAGCACACACCACACCCACCAAACCACACACCACACCACACAGCACACACACTACACCACAGCTCACCACACCACCACAGCACACCACACCACCACAGCACACCACAACACACCACAACACATCACATCACAGCACAGCACACCACACCACACCACAGCACACACCACACCGCACCACACACCACACAGCACACCACTCCACACCGCGCGCACGCACACACACACACACACACACACACACACACACACACACACACTTCCACAAGCCCTACATAATATAATGGAGATGTTTTAATACTTGAATAGTATTCCAATAACTTGCGTTTATCCGTTTTTTTATTTAAAAAATGTTTTTTATGTCGAAAACAATTAAAAACTGCCATGTGTTACGATAATGGATACTGCGCACCTTTCTTAATTCTGGGATGTACCCTGCCATATACAAGTTGAATTCTGAATACAGAAAGAAATGAGCGTTTTTGGCTTGAATCGGTAAGAAAATATTAGCTTCTTACCAATCAGCAAGAGATTTGGGCTCTATGCCTATTGTCCTTCGTGAAGAAATAGACGTACTGCCACAACAAAACATGGAAAATGATAATATTTAAGAATCTGTATTCCCCACTGAACTCTAGAAGATGTGCACAGGCAGTGAAGTTATATTTATGTCCGGAAGTGAGAAAAGGTGTCATCTCAGCAGTTAAATGATAGGGAAACTGGGCGAAAAACTGATCGAGATGGAGGTCATTAACCCAGAGGCTGAGCTACAATACTCCGTCCGTCAGTGGGAGGTTTGATCCTCTTCCCAGTCGAGATAAAATGATGTCATTCGACGCGTCTCGGTTTCCTGTTTGGAAAGAGGGTGTGTTTTCATAGACGTTGAGATGATTCTAAGAAATTTCCAAAATAGTTTTAAATTTTTTAGTGCTGCGATCTAACGGTGGCCGCGGGAACCACGTGCACCCGGGCGTTGACTGTTTGCTATTAGATGTATCGCCTGGATGCCGCTGTTCACAAAATGTTGTGCAGGGCTTGTCAGTGTTACCACCCAGGCGCCACAATGGCATGGTAAGGACGTGCTTCCCCGTTGCTTGAAGCGTGGGCTAGCGGGGAGTTTTACGAACCTAATTCTAATACTTAATAATTTTACTTCGCATTTTGAAAGGTCGGAATGCGTAGAATGGAAGACGCATTGAACTTCTGACTCGTTCAAAGTAAGATATGCAAATATAACGTTCAAACGAAAATGTTTATGTAACTTTGACATATACGTCTTTATCATACAGTTGTATAAAGCTCAAAAACCAATGTTTCAAGTGTGTCGCTCACGTAGTTTTGGGCACTTGTAACACCATGATTGAAAGCAAAAAATAAGCTTGTAAGCTTCTATTAGCAAATGCATTTCTCTAAAAATGGTCATTTCAGGAGTCGTGGCAACTCTCCCTACTCTGAGGAGCGGGTCCGTCAATCACGGTACCAACACCAATCGGGTGGCATTCGACGCGTTTCAGTCCCCTCATGGCGAACTGATAATTTGTTTTCATAACAGTTCATAAGATTCAAAGAAATTTCAAAAAACCTATTTTTCGTGGTTTGGCGTTTCGATTTTAGTGGGTATGCCGGGAAGTAAAAGAACGCCACCTAAATAGATCCATACGCTATGATATTCTTTCACGACGTCAACACTGATGTTGCAATCTAATTAAGTGAACAATTGAGTTACCAAGAGAATCGCACTGCTGATTTCATTTTAATTTTCATTCGTACTGTATTTTTAAAAGTAAATTTGCAAAAACCTACAAATCCAAGTATTGCCTTGGAACTTCTTAAATTCGAAGAATTTCTAGTGAATACGGCGAAAACAAAACTGAGTAATGGTAGTGAATGGACGTTCTTTCGTTCCACTTCTCATTTTTACGTTCTTACGTGTTCAAATACCGAGTTTGAAATGAATGTGACCCCCCAACTTCTTCTTTTTAAACTTAACTAACACCTTACTCACATAAACATATGAAGCAGTCACCGTTTAATGTTTATGAAGATCCGCATACTAAATTATTAATACAGCAATTGCAGAAGTAGAAGTGAACACAAATTAGACTGCGTTTGTGGAGTTTTAATCTCTTCAAAAATTAGGGGAGAAAAATATGGAAGTATGAAAAAAATGTAAAGAAAAATCAAATGTAGAACGCTGTTCAGCAGATAAAAGGCGTTGGGCTGTGGCGATAAAAGCCGCAAATACTGGTATGTCTGCATCGACGGTGTTCTACATTTTACGGAATAACTGAAAATGCGCAATGTCTCTGCACAGTGGGTGCCACATGATTTAACTTAGGTGCAAAAATCGACTCTACGAGACGTTTCGTATCAATCTAGAGGGATTCCAACATGAAGGAAATGAGATGTATCGCATTATCGCAATTGCGAAAACGTAGTCATAAGCGTAAGAACCAGTGGCGGCGTCGTGGATTACCACGAAAACACAAGTTTCGACAGAATTCATCACCCAAAAAGGTCATGTTTATTTTGGCTTTTGACAGTTAAGGTTTCCTCTTGTATTTCCTGTTCGCAAGAACCGAACCGTCTCTGCCACGTCCTATAAAGATCATTCCTACTACACACTCTGCGTCGTACAGAGCGGAGGTAACGTCTAGGGCTTTGCGTCTTAAAAACGCAATACTCCTCCGTGATGATGTAACGAGCTAGTATACTTGAGCCTGTGACCAAAACCTCGTGCGGCGGTGGGGGTTGGAGATGTTGGAACACGCGCCGTACTCCCCTGATCTCAGTCCGTGCCACATTGATCTCATGCCAAAATAGTGGGATTAAAACAGCTCGTACTTTCTCACCTTAGTAACGGTTATGAGATACTGTTTATACCACCATTTCTCTCCGAATTTACGTCTCAATCATCATTTTTTGTAAAATTTATTTGAAACCGTAGAACATTTGGTGCAAAAATTAAATATTTTCTAGCAATATATTTTTTATTCAAAACTTTAAATGGAAATGTATTTTGGCATTGGTATCTGGTCTATATGTACGGCGTTACAACAACCAACAATGAAAATTCGTCAATTCGTTTTCACATTTAACAGAATTAAAGGACGCAATTTAAAATGAAATAACAAATATAATAAATAATAATAATAAAATGAAATATGAAATAGTATACAAATTCTAATTTATGCGAATTTATGCATCCAATTGCGAAAATTGGGAGCGGATGACTGAAGATTAGTAATCTTTATTTAATATTTATTTCAAATAGGTTTAAAATCATTTCTAGAAGATCAATTTGTAAACGTTTAAAAACAAGTTTCAATGTAAGTAAGAACAAAGAAATATGAAATAAAATACACATTCCAACTTATGTAGCATTCAACTGGCTCTAAACACTTTTAAAATCACGATAACAAAGTGCAGGATTTCCGGAGTGAGCGACTCCAAAAAAGTAATATTTTCGAAAAATTCAACATGACCTTATTTGACGATCTGTTTTTGATGAATACATTTCTTTAAAGAAAAAGTTGTAGGAAGACGTCGAAAAAAATTTGAATATTTTCAATTTTCGAAAAATCATGGTTTTTAACCAACATGAGACCTGCACAATTTTCTTCACAATCTTTCAAACTATTCTGCAAAAAAATTTAAAATTGCCCACATTTCACAGAAAATTACGCGAAAAATACTCAAATTTTCGAAAAATTGTACATGACATTACTTCAAAATTTCTCTTTAAGGAACATATTTTATGGAAAGTCTCTATTTTATAGTTGTAGGAAGAAGCACAAAAAAAAAAATCCAAAAATCAGTTTTCAACGAAAATGAGACCTGCACCATTCTCTCAAACGTTCTTTACACTATCCAACCATACATTCCAATGAAAAACAATGGGCCCAATTTTTTTGAAAATGCCTCAGTGACTTCAAGTAAAGTAACCCTCAAAATTAAAATATCGATTTGAAATTCAAGGGACCCTGACATCAGCCAGATCGTACGGGTAATATCAGTTTTGGAGAAAATCGGCCGAATTGCTGCTAGCGTTGTTTACAGACAGACAGACGTTTTGCCACTTTTCGGTATTGAGGACCTTCTTGGATTCGGTATTAAGGACTTGGATTCTGGCTATACCACGTGTTAGAGGATTTACCCCTAAATTTAGCAATTGGATTTAT